TATATATATGCACAAGGGGGATAATTATGTGACGATCACTTCTCACAGTCATAGTGGGTCTCCTCCTAGCCATACATATATATGCGACCGCAGGGCAGCCCAATCAAAACCCCAAGTCTTTGAACATACATGCAATCACATCAAAAGTCAGACAAGAGTCTACACACTACGCGGAGTCAACTCCAACCGGCTCCTATACTCATACCCCTCGCTTTAGCCATGCAACCCCAACTTCCAGCCAACCAACCTCAATTAAATACTCAGTACCTTTGCTAAATGGCCATTCAATAAAAGTCTGGGTGAAACCCTTAACAAACAAAAAGATCACCAGGGCTAAAGCCTTTTAGGTTGAGTATGGGAGCGAGTAGGAATTGAGCCGACGAATCGGCAACCGACCTGTTATCAGTGATAACAGAAGGTGATCCTCGTAGGATCAAGCTGAAACTAGTCCTAATCCTGAATCGAATGTCTAAGAAGGATCTGTACCATAAGACAGGTCAATGCCCAAGCTAAATCATCAGCATATGGGGGACGAACCTCCATAGCACATTCTCACTCAAAGTCATCTGCCAACCAAGTCTAAGCCTACCTCTAAGTCAGTGCCCAAAGCAAAGGTAGACTAACGGCAGGATCTCCCCTATTAAGGGTGGATCGCCAAAATCGGCACCTGCCAAAAATATCATCTATCTCCCCTAACTATGAAAATTTTGGCACTACTTCCCGTAGGAAAAGTGCCTTTTCAGAAAATTTATATCAGCCCGAATATGAAAACAGAAATAGTCTTTGACCTTCCAAAGATTAATTTTGTCTAACTCCCTGAATTAGCAAAAATTTTAGCAGCACTCCCTTTAGAAAAGGAGACTTTCCAAATTTTTACTAAGTCATATATAAACTTTAGACAAGTTGAACTTTGACAAGTCAAAATTTGACTAACTCCTTGGATTTGCAAAAATTTCGGCAGCGCTTCCCGTAGAGAAAATAGCTTACCAGAATTTATACAAGGCCAAGTATAACAAAAGATTCCAGAAAATGCGATAATCGATCTAAATATAAACTTAGCTCAGAAAATGCAAAAATTGAATTAACTCCTATCGCACTAGCACGAGGGGAGTCTCTAAAGCACCTACCTGTCAACCTGAAACTCAAACCAAGTAGTAATCTCACTCAGCTACATGCAATTCCAAACCACAAAGGTAAGTACTCTTGCCACCCCAAGTCAAACTTTGCAAACAATAGTTCGTAATCTCTCGATGTTTTACTCTCTTATACCCAGCTTACATAGGGCATAAAGTCAAGCCGTCCAATCTTATGGAACCTGCCTGACTCAGCCATTGAGTATACACGAACGGGTTGCACAACTACTTCTCTCTTCCTTTTGGGCGTATGACTAAGCCGTTCATCTAAGAACAAGGCTCAACCGCCCCGAACTGTTTAATATTCAAATTATATATACCTCTCTTAGCTTGGTGCTCAAAAGTTAGGCATAGGACCGAGCCGTTCATCTTAGAATAAGGCCCGGCCTGCTCAGGGTTACCTCCAATTATACTCTTAATTATACTCTCTTCATTTTATGATAAGCTATAACCAGGCTGTCCAATCTTATGGAACCCATGCCTGACTAGCCTGTTCATACATAGGATAGTATAAAATATAGCCAAAATTTAACCCTTTGGGTTCCAGCATGTGCGAGGCATTGGGCCAGACCGTCCAATCTTATGGAACTGGTCTAGTCCTCTGCTTGGTTCGTTTCTCTCTGACCCAACTATGTACAGCATGAGTCCAAGGCCGTCCAATCTTATGGACATGCCCTGCCCTCAGCAAGGATTATCCCCTCAGAATAAAACAAGYGGGGGGCTGAGCCGTCCAATCTTATGGACTTGCTCAGAACACCTCGATCAGAAACAAAAGAAACAGCACAAACCCCAATCAAACATGACAACCAAACCCTCCAATCTTATGGTACAGGTTTGACACTTGAAAAGTCAGCCACAGTCAAACCCTCACAATTYAGAGAAATCAGACCGTCCAAKCTTATGAAACTGGTCTGACTCTCCATGCAATTCAAAAATAAAACACAGCGGTCAGGCCGTCCAATCTTATGGAACTGGTCTGACCCCATAGGGTCCATTCACGCTTAGGCAAAACCACCTTTCACCCACCCTTCCCCTAGATGCAACCCCTTTTGTTCACAGTCTGCTTTCAGGCAATCAACAAAAACTGAAACTAAGATTGCGCATACATTCCTTTATTTAATCTKAGTCAGTCAAACCAAAGTCAAAATAGGGGTGCATGCAACATACTCAGTCAAACATAGCAAGGGGGTACAGGTAGGGGTTATACCAGGGTATAGAGCNGTCAGTCAAACCAAAGTCAAAATAGGGGTGCATGCAACATACTCAGTCAAACATAGCAAGGGGGTACAGGTAGGGGTTATACCAGGGTATAGAGCGAAAGCAAAAGATCACCTTTCAATTCCCTGCCTCCAGAGCCTCGCCTAGGCTCTGGCAGAGCTCCCGCAATCTGTGGGGCGAACCTCCCACAGAGGCCTTGGCGCGGATTACGGGTTGCAATCCCGCCTGCCGCCTTCCTCTCAGAACCAATGGACCAGACTTAGAATAAGAAGGGCAGGTAAAGATAATTTTGAGACTCTCAGATACAAGAAGGGTGCTCTCAGACTCGCGGAAGAGGGCCCCTATATCTTCCTTCGCCTGAGGTC